ATATATATATATATATATATATATATATATATATATATATATATATATGTTTCAGCGCACTTATTTTTACTATTTACGGGCGATTCTGCTGATTTTTTCTATTTTTCCATAATACGAAACTTGTATTATATAGCCTGTAGCGCGCACGACTATATATTATCCTAATAAAGGATTTAATATTAATAAGTATTACTTTTTATATGTAGCCCTAATTTTCAGGTGTTACACACGTCGTGGGCACTCCACGACAAAACATTCGGCCATCCACCAAATCCTACGCCGTGGCCATCATTGGCCACGATGTGACATCGTCCAAAGGAAAATTTCACGGAAACACCAGTCGCCACGCCGTGGGCACTATGCATCAAAAACTTAACGGATTAAGCTATTATACCTAAATCCCAACAGCTCTAACACTCAGATATGGATCCCCTCAAGGTCTTGATGGATAAAGTTTCAAACTTTATCCATTAGGACATGCTATTAAGTGAAGATCTCTAATTCTAAGTTCTTAATGACAACTCCAAGGCATGGGTTCACTCAATAATCCATGCAAGCCAACTTTCCAACCATCTCCAATGTCCAGAAGCTAACAATTGCACTGAACAAGAATATTTGGGGTTAAAAGCCCATAAAATAACCTAAAACTAGATCTAGAGAACTAATGATCAAGGTCGAGACTTTATACCTCCAATGATGGAGAAAAGAGATGTAGATGACGGATCTAAGCTAGAACCATACTCAAAAGCAACAACGAAAGCTCATTCTTCCTTCAACCTTCACAAAAATGGAGTTCAAGCTCCCAAAACACAAAATGAGGCTAGGGTTTGGATGGGAGTTCGTTTTTAGAGGGTGGAGGCTGCCAAATGAGAAAACCCTTGGAGTTAGTGTCATTAAATAGGTCACTAACCCTGAGATTAGAGTTTTAGTCCCAAAACGGTTGGCATGTTGTGGCCACATAACGTCACGCTGTGGACAAACGGGGATGCGCTCTTTTCATTAACTGAGTGTCTCGTCGTAGCACTCCAATGCCACGTCGTGGCCAAGCAAATTTTAAAACACAATAAATAATTTAAGACTTCAAAATTAATACATAGAAGAAGGATGTTACAATCGAGATCATTTTCTTCTTCATATGATTAAACGATTAAGATTCCGATCTGAACAATACTTCTATTAACATCATTACGAGTTACGTTCACAAGACCGTTATTTTTGTCATATCTGAACATTCATAACAAATGGGGCCTAGACGCATTATTGACCCACGCCTATTAAAATTCTAAGATAATCTTGAATCGTTAATCCATTTTTTTCTTTTGTCAAATCAACATTCAATTAATTATTATTGGAATATCTTCACAAAAGTTGATATATTTTGAGAGTAATAAAACTACTCAATTCAACTAATTATTATTGGAATATCTTCACAAAAGTTGATATATTTTGAGAGTAATAAAACTACTCAATTGGCAATCCAACCCAAATATCTATTAAAAAAACAATTTCTTTCTACCTATAAAACCCAACCAAATCTAAAATTTAAACTTATTACCAACCCAGCTAAGCTCATTTTTTGTATTAAAAGTTATTTTGATGAAAATACATAAATATGTGTCTATTTGTAGAGAAAAAGTCATAAATTTTAATAAAAAAAATTCATTAAAAGAATAACATATAATATAGAGTTTATCGTGTTAATCAAAAATAGATATTTTTTTAAAGATTTTTCATTTTTATTAACAAAAACTTATTATCACACATCTTCTCCGACCATAAGTATTTTCGAAAGTTGTTTATAAAAAGTCAACTAATCTATCCTTAGCTATATAAATTCTTTTATAAATCCTATCATCTAATTTGACATTACTAAGCACGTATATAGTTATTAAAATAAAAGACCATAGAAATTATCTCGTAACCATGCAAACCAGAAAAACAAATTCTTGGATGAAGGAACAGATTACTCACTCTATTTTCGTATCGATCATGATATATATCATAACTTGTGTATCCATTTCAAATGCATATCCCATTTTAGCACATAACGGTTATGAAAATCCATAAGAAGCGACATGACGTATTGTATGCGTCAATTGTTAGGATATTGAGGTTCCACAAACATACATTCTTGATACTGTATTTGGCAGTTGTTCGAATTCTTTATGATCCGCAACTGAAACAAGTTGTTCTTACTGGTAAAAAAGAAATATAGTGAAATCATGTTTCCTAATCTTTCCCGAGACCTGCTACTAAGAAAACATTCAATTTCTAAAGTATCAAGAGCAAGAGTAAAATACAGTTTATAATGCTACAACATCCGGTATAGTAATCAAAATCCTACGAAAAAAAAAGCGGGGTACAAAATAACCATACCAAATGCATGGGCCATAACTTAGAGTTTTAAGAAGATAATCTATCAAATTTGAGTAACTGTTTACAAGTAATCCTAATGCGGATAGATTTGATTAGGTCAAAGAGATGCATAAATAGTACTTCAAGATCCATGTGTGTACATGACCTTTTGTTCTTCTTAGCATATGTTATTTCGACACAAATATTTTTGGTTCTTAAACAGAAATAGTTTGAAAATGTTCAATTGTCCGAAATGAATTGTTAGACTTGTGGATGTATCCACCTCAGATTTTGTAAAAAGAATCTAATTCTTTTTAGTTATGAAAAGTATGAATAGAAAATGTATGTAGTTATGAAAAGAGAAGATTGATAACCATTATATTATACTATCGTTATGTATTTTATTATTTGATATCGATGTGATTTTTGATTGTTTTGACAAATGTTTTTAATGAAATATTTGTCTATAAATAATATTATTTAGTAAAATAAATTAACTAATCAAAAAATAATAAATATTGATTATTTAAATAGGATTAGGGGTAGAATAAGACATTATTAACACCATATATAACTCAAGTTCTTTAAGGAAGGAAATTGAAGGTAAGGAGAGGAAAATTGTGTTCTTCAGTTTTTTTTTTTTTTAAGGAAGGAAAAGAAAGAAAAGACAACGAAGTGTTCTTGAGTTTCATTTAAAGAGGGGAAAGAAATGAAATGAAAAGAATTTGAAGAAAAGTAGAGCCTTTTTCCCCAAAAGAAAAATGTATCCCCTAAAAAATAAGATGATTGTTTCCCTTACCTTCCCCTCAACTTTAAACTCGAGCACAGGTTGTAAAACACATGGGAAAAATGAATTTTATAAGTGCTTGGAATGACGTTTAAAAAACATAAAAATTTCAAAAATAGGTAACTTTTCAATTGGTTTTCAAGTAGTAAGAAACTATATAAAAAGTTACCATTAGAGATGCTCTAACCGGAAAACCAGGGAAGATGATCATCTTCTGTTTACAAGAAGACTTTAGGAGTAATGTAAGCAAGAATGGTGGATTTCCTATAAAGCCATTAGTTTCCACGGGATCTGAAGTTTCTATAAATTTGTACTTAATAAGACTAGCATCATATCGATATCAGGGCAATCATTTATGGTATTTAACATAATAAAAGTCACAGCTTCACATAACAAGTTAACAACAGAGATTAAACAAGAAGCATATTTTGCTATATAATAAAGGATGACCCTAATGAAACTTGTAGAAACATAACAAGACTCTACAAAGAGACTGAAACTTTAAACTATTTATATAGAAGATGGGTGAAGAGAAAAGTCACTAGATAACTACTAGTTTAATTAAGGCAAGGCAAAGCTAAAAGAAAGACTATTAGACATGAGAAAGAGACTCGCAGAATTGAAAAGCACCTGGCCATCTGCCTACTTTTGAAAAGCCATCATCTGCAACAGATAATCTGAAAGGCCGAGATAATTCAAAATCACAAAGCTCCTCACAAGTCTTTAACACTATATTGTATCTTATAGCCTTCCCAGGGACTTCCAACACCAAGAACGCATCTTCTTCTTTTTCTCCCAAAATAAGACAATGTATTACAAACGACTGAAAGGGTCTGAAAAAAGTAAGGAGATTCATCAATGTCATCTCACTCGTTTGTGGGAATTTGGTCATTACTTCATTAAGATCAACATGGTACTTCACTGTCCACCCTGAATAGTCTCTATTCATCTCATGAACATCAAACTTGAAACTCAATGGAGGAAATATGTCAATGAACAGCAAGCCATCACGGGATTCGACTAGAGGGTAACAATGCCTCTTAACATTCCAGCCAGCACGAACAGTAGGAGTAGGAATTTGATCTAGGAGATCCTCATTGATCTTTAGATAGAAGATATACCCTTTCTTGTTGATCCAGTGAACTGCATCATTCCAATAAACTCCACCTGTAAACTCTGTATCAATCTGATTGGCGAAAGGTTTTCCAGACATCTTCCAACTCCTGTTTTCTGATGAGTAAATCTCAATACTGTAAAGATGATCGCTCCATAGATATCCACGAACACATATCACTTTATAGTGAGGTGATTTCACAGGATCAAAAGCTAATGTCATACCACAAGGTCGCCTTTGAAACCAATCACAGCCTTCAAGTTTCGGAAGGGTGGCGACTTGATTGATTGTTGGATTGTAAACGTAATACATGGCATGGTACACAATTTCTTTTGAAGTGTTGCGAAAATATTCATGCAAGCTGTGACAGAGCATTAAACCATTGGAAGAATGCAGAACAATTATACCTGAATTAGATACATTCCCATGGAAATTCAGGGTTTTGAAAGGAGGTTTAACATGTTTTTCACGATCCAATGGAACGAAGTCATACTCCGGAGTAGCATTACCAATTCGTTGAAGAAACAAACCGCAAGGAGTATTAGGGTTAGGGTTTCGAAGCTGAGCGAAACGATGGTTTGAAATGAGTAAACGCCAATGTTTAGACACGCATTTTGATCGGAGGAGTGATCGAATAGGTAATCGTAGCAAGATTTCCGTCAAAATATCGTCGTGAGAAGTTAAATCGGCTGATGATAACATGACTTTGTGCTCTTCATCATCTTCGGTGCCTACCTTGGCCTTACGAAACTGCTTTATATTCGTCTTCATCGCCACCGTTTAAATAACTTCCTGCTGTTCCCAACGGCCACCGAATCACGTCCCGGCCATATGTAATTGAATTCCTAGCTACCGACGATGAGTGTGCATGCTAATCCCGATCATTGATCGTTATCGATTCCAATTGGAATTGGATTTTGTGTGTCCTTACTGTAGGCTTGTGTAAAAACCCCTCTTTTGACGACCTGATGAAATATTCATCGACATAAGACCGAGACTCGCAAACTTTTGCAGCTAAAGCTAGACGGAGTCATTGAATTTTATGTTTTCTTTTATATGTCAGATCATTGGTAAAATAAAGATTATACGGTAAAAGTATGGGAAATCAGTTAAAATCTCGTTATTTTAGATCAGTTTACGGTTTAAAAAAAAAAATAAGGAAATAGTTTTTTTTTCTTTATAGAAATTGATAGAAAATCATATAAAATTACATAATCCGGACTTTTCTGTTTGAAAAATAGATGTTAGGATTAAACTATAAACTAATAAAAAATATTAAAATTTTATTGGAGATTTCCCGTAAAAATATTTGATATAAATACATATAATATATATTTATATTCAAAAGAAACAACAATAACAATATCATCCAAATTTCATATCAAATGAGAAAATAAAAGATACGATGGTCGTCAACCTAATCATAAGATTCGAAAACTGCTTTCATAAAATATATCTGACAAAAGAAAAACGTAAATATAACTTTGTAAGTGCACCCACACTACCCTTGCAAAAGATCCATACATATAAGAACGTCTCCTCGTAATATATAAACAATGGTATGTGACCCGGTAAATGGAACACAATAAATTTGCACATGGAGAGGGGTAGGTAAGCAAAGTAAAAGATTAGTAGGGGAAGCACATACAAGATTTAGCCAAAGAGCCAAAAACAGATACTAACTGGAAAAATAAATAAATAAGATATATATATATATATATATATA